AGAGAGAGAAACATAAACACACATACATACTCACACACACTGAGCATGGTTCATTCCTGTAACTGCAGCTCTTAGGAGATGGAAGCAGGAGTATCAGGAGTTCAGTGTCATCACTGGCTACATAGCAAATTCAAGGGCCAACCTGGGGTACTTGATACTCTATTTTGAAAAACAGAAACAAAACTAGCAATTACAAAAATTAAATTACTTTTTAATTTTTAAATATTTGCTTATTTATGTGTATGAGGTGGGGTTTTTTTGCCTGAATGTACATAAGTGTCTGATGCCTGTGAAAGTCAGAAAGCATTGGATTTGCTAGAACTGAAGTTACAGATGGTTGTGGACCACCATGTGAATGCTGAGAATCAAACCCAGGTCCTCTGGAAGTCCATCAGGTGGACTTCTCTCTAGCCTTTTTAGAACAATTTTAGATGTACAGGAGAATTAAGAATACCATATGGTTTCTATATAGTGCCTCACCTAGTATCATGGCATATTAGTAAGATAAACTTGTTACAATCACTGAGCCTGTATTGATACTTTGTTATTAACTAAAATCCACAGTTCAATTTCCTTTTTTTTTTTTTTTTTTGATTTTTCGAGACAGGGTTTCTCTGTGGTTTTGGAGGCTGTCCTGGAACTAGCTCTTGTAGACCAGGCTGGTCTCGAACTCACAGAGATCCGCCTGCCTCTGCCTCCCGAGTGCTGGGATTAAAGGCGTGCGCCACCAACGCCCGGCTCACAGTTCAATTTTCTTTACTTTTCATGTAGTATCAATTGTGTCCTGAGATATTCTTACAGAACTGTGCCAGATTTGGTGAATATTAGTCAACAGTGTGGTAGAATTCCTCTCCATTGGTTGATTTTTTTTTCTTCCTCCTGCTTTAGCTTCCTGAGTGTGTGTAGGCATACCCAGCCCCACTATTAGAGCTGCTGTTATCTAAGAGGGGTGGATTTCGGTTATCAGTTTGTGGGAGGAGGACCACAACTGGCACCTGCTAAGTTTCATGTAATGTCAAGGATACATGTCCTCAATACCTTAGTGACTTTGTTCTCCTGACTCAAGTCCAGTTCCTTTACCCCTTCCTCCTTTACTGTATTATTTGGATTGTTTTCCCATTTGAGGTTTCCACAGTTCAGGGTTGGGGATGAATATTCTCCTTGAGTGTAGAGTTTCTATTTAAATCTGTGTGCTCTTCAAAGGACAGTGTGTTCTCCACAGCCATCTATCCCTGGCCTTTCTCTTTCCATGAGTATGTAGCCCAGCTGACCTTGAACTCACAGCAATCCACCTGCCTGTGCCTCCAGAGTGCTGGGATTAAAGATGTGTGCCATCCATACCCCACTACAACAATCTCTTTTTCCTCAGATGTCTTCCCCAAATACACCCAGTTCAATTTTTAGTTTATTTTTGTTATGTATATAAATTTTGTATATAGGCCAGGCGTTGGTGGCACACGCCTTTAATCCCAGCACTCAGGAGGCAGAGGCAGGCAGATCTCTGTGAGTTCGAGGCCAGGCTGGACTGACAGCCTCCAAAACAATACAGAGAAACCCTGTCTCGTAAAAAAAAAAAAAAAGAAATAAGAAAAACAAAAAAATATATGCATATATAATATAATTTAAGTTTAAGTAGGACTGGAGAGATGGTTCAGTAGTTAAAGAGCACTGACTGCTCTTCCAGAGGACCCAGGTTCAATTCCAAGCTCCTACATGGCAGCTTACAACTGTCTGTAACCCCAGTTCAAGGGGACCCAACACCAATGCACATAAAAAAAGAATATTTTTAAAAAATCCTATATGTGTAATATATGTGTGTGTGTATGTGTGCACATTCAAATTTTTTTTTTACAAGACAGGGTTTCTCTGTATTGTTTTGGCAAATTTGTTTTTTTTTTTTTTTTTTTTGGTTTTTCGAGACAGGGTTTCTCTGTAGCTTTGGAGGCTGTCTTGGAACTCACTTTGTAGACCAGGCTGGCCTCGAACTCACAGAGATCCGCCTGCCTCTGCCTCCCGAGTGCTGGGATTAAAGGCGTGCGCCACCAACGCCCAGCTGCAAATTTTTTAATAATAATATTTTTAACTTTTTACACGTTACTCCCAGCTCCCTCTCCCTCCCCTTCTCCCCCTCCCCCCCCACATTCAAGTTTTTGAGACAAATTCTCATTGTGTATCCCTTATTGGCTAAGGACATACTATGTAGATCAGGCTTGCATATATGTGGTGATCAGAGAGCAACTCTATAGAGTCAGTTCTTGGGCTGACTTTGTGATACATGTCTTCAGTCCCAGCACTTGGGAGGCAAAATGTGACAGATTTCTTTAAGTTCAAGGCCAGTATATTTTATCTAGTGAGTTCTAGGACATTCAGGGCTACATAGAGAGACCCTGTCTCAAAAAGAAACAAAGTCAGCTCCTTTCTACCACCATGTGGGCCACAGAGTTGAACTCAAGTTGTGAGGCATGGTGCCAAACACCTTTACCTATAGAACCATCTCCCCAACCCTCTAATCATATTGGGTTACAGTAAGCGATGTTGTCATAATACAATATGTACTAATGGTTTTGCTCCGACTGTGACTTATACCAGCTTTGATCATTAAGAGCATTTTCACTAGGCGGTGGTGGCTCACGCCTTTAATCCCAGCACACTCGAGAGGCAGAGGCAGGCGGATCTCTGTGAGTTTGAGGCTGGGCTGGACCAATAGCCTCCAAAACAGTACAGAGAAACCCTGTCTCGTAAAAACCAAAAAAAAAAAAAGAGCATTTTCAGTGATGCTTTTATTTGTGACACTATCACTTGGATGGTAGAGGCAGCAGGATTAGGAATCAAAGCCATTCTCAGCTATATATCCAGTTCGAGGCCAATCTGTTCTACCTGAGACCAACACTCAAAAAAAAAAAATGTGGGGCTGGGGACTGGAGAGATAGCTCAAGAGTTACGATCACTGTCTGCTCTTCTAGAGGACCCGGGTTCAATCCCCAGTACCACAGGAAAGCTCAAAACCATCTGTAACTCCTGTTCCAGAGGATTTGGCATTCTCACATGGATATACATGCAGGCTGGCCTCAAACTCACAATGCTGGGACTAAGGACATGCACCACTACCACCTGGCTTATTCTATATCTCTTGCTTTCCTTCTTACCCCAAGTCTGGCTGTGTTGCTGGGTTGCTGGTCCCTGGCATCCTCTTCTCCTTCTCCTTTTCTTGATCCTCCTTCTCTTTCTCATTTATTCTTTCTGTCTGCCAGGCCTGCCTACTTCTCTGTTCTGCCTAGCTGTTGACCATTTAGCTCTTTATCAGATGTTTTAGACAAGCAAAGTAACAAAGCTTTATAAAGTTAAACAAAAGCAACATAAAAGAATGCAACACATCTTTGCATCATTAAACAAATATTCCATAGCATAAACAAATGTAACACATCTTAAACCATATTCCACAGCATTCATTTCTTTTTCCCTCCCTGCCCCCTGCTTTTCTCTCTCTCTCTCTCTCTTTTTTCTTTTGTTTGTTTACTTTGAGACAGGGTCTCACTCAAATAGTCTAGGTGGTACTTGAACTTACTATATTATCTGAATATGACCTTGAATGTCTCATCTGCCTGCTCCCACCTCTCAAATGCGGAGGTTACAAATGTGTCCAACCAATGGTCCGTGGTGGCTATGCCTTAAATCCTAGCACTCAGGAGGCAGAGGTAGGCAGATCTGAGTTCCAGGTCAGCCTGGCCTACAGAGTGAGTTCCAGGACAGCCAAGGTTACACAGAGAAACTTTGTCACATAAAACCAAAACCCAAAACAAAACAAAACAAATGTGTCCCACCTTGCCTGACACTTCATTACCATTCACAGCCAGAGAAAATTCCATTACATCAGCATACCTATTCTTTCTTTCCTTCTTGTTCTTTTTTTTTTTTTTCTTGTAGTGGGGATTGACCCCAGATCTTTGAGTATAATAGGCAAGCCTCCTCCATTGAGTTACAACCCCAGTCCTTGTTTTACATTTTGTTTCCAGATAGTGTCTCACTTGTGTTTCAATAATGCTGTAAGAAATGTTTTACACAGTGAGTGATTAGTATTCTAAATCTGTGTGCTCTCCTTTGAACCACAGATAATGTTTATCACTTAGAAGGGAAAATGAATGGCTCTAGCACACCCTGTCACTCACAGTAGGATTGCAAAGTGTGGTTTGCCTCAGACAGTTTATAGGAGTTTAATGAGTAACTTGGAACAAATCTGTTAGATGGAAGAAAGGCAACAGGAGAGACTAGCAACTGCAGGGAACTGCTCTTTTTTTTTTTTTTTTTTTTTGGTTTTTCGAGACGGGGTTTCTGCGTATTGTTTTGGAGGCTGTCCTGGTACTTGCTCTGTAGACCACGATGTCCTCGAACTCACAGAGATCCGCCTGCCTCTGCCTCCCGAGTGCTTTTAAGGCGTGCACCACCAATGCCCGGCTCATGTATGAAGACTCAGAAACACAACGGACAGTGTCCAGGCCTAAGGCCTAAGGAATCCATAGTAGAAGTGACCACAGTAAAAAAAAAATGGTTTTAGTCTATTAGCTCTAAAGTTTTACATCCTCTTGCTTGTTTTTGTTCTTTAAGACACAGTTTCTCGGCCAGGCGTTGGTGGCGCACGCCTTTAATCCCAGTCTTCATACATATCTTTTGGATTCAGGACTCTCATAGCCTGACTTTCTCCTGCCTTCTTTCCCTAACTTACTCTATCATCAGTAAGACTAGTTCCCTGCAGCCGGGCATTGGTGGAGAAACCAAAAAAACCGAATTGGTCATGTCCCAATTATTCATTTATTTATAACTTATCCTTAATTAAACTGATTTTTCCCCCCGCCCTTCAATTTGCGTACGCCAGGGGCGACCTACAAGCCAGATAACCCCGTAAAATGGCGGTAGCGCGACTCCACCCACTTAGGGCCGAGCCTCACGTCACGTGACCCTGGCCAGCTCTCGCCGCGGTGGCTGACGGGAGGTGGAAAGAAAACGAGGGTGTGTCGGCCATTTTGTGTCTGTTTCCTGTGGGACGCGGCGGTGGCGGTTGGTTCCGATACTTCGGCGATTTTCTTCGGATTTTTCCAGCTTCTTTTCGCCTCCTTTCTACCTGGTCTGTAGAGCGCGGTTATGGGTCGCAAGAAGAAGAAGCAGTTGAAGCCGTGGTGCTGGTATCCTTTGTGGGCTTGAGGTGAAGGCCGAGCGTGGGTGTCGCTTGTTGAGGACTGGGTCTGAGAGGCCTGGGTTGGGCCTGCGGCGGGGCCCGGCCGGGCCCGCGTGCTTGGGTGTCTGGGTCAGGGTTTGAGATGGTCTCTTTGGAGATGGGGTGCCCACGGCGCAAAGGCTCGGGTGGCGCAGGAGGCGCTTGTGTGGTTGGGCCGGGAGCCCTTCCCCGAGAGCCGTCGCCCCTAAGGACCCTCCCCTCCGTTGTTTCCTGGAGGACCCCAGAAAGGGCCTTGAGTTTGGGGTTACGTGCTAATCGACTCCTTGGAGACTTGGATTGCGGAGCGCCCCCTCCCCCAATGGCGGAGGGCGGCTTTCCGCGTCTCTGGCGCCTTAATCTTCAGGAAGCGTTCGCTTCACTGGGTGGAGTTTCTAGTATCTGTTACTCAATTTTGCTGGGCTGGGGAAAAAGGCTGTCGGAAAGGAAGCTATCTTTCTCATGTTTTCTGGAAGCGTTTAAGTGTTTTACATTACACTTGATTTTTTAAAATCTATTACATTTAAACGATTTGTCTCAGGACCCGTTATTAAAATAGGTAAAAATCGGCCACGAATTTTGGTCAAAATTTATAGTATTGTGGATTAAACATGTGAGTTTACATTCCCTGATGGCATAAAGTAATAGGCAATTGGAAGGCATTTATTGGATTGTTAGTTGAATGTGCTGTTTGCCGGGAAGGTGATCTTAGAATATAAATATTGATGAGTTCCCAGTTTCGATTCTTCTGCACATCTAATGAGTCCTCGTGAAATTGCCCCCCCTTTTCTGCGGCGGCGGCGGGCGATGCGGTGCGTTTATCTGGCTGTCCTGTAGCTTGCTCTGTAAACCAGGCTGTCTCTGCTTCGCAAGTGCTGAGATTAAAGGCATGGGTCACCAGAACCCCGTTTGAAATTGTTTTTATCTTTTGAAAAAAATTTTCGAGACTCTTTGACTGGCTGACCTGGTGCTCACAGCATTTGCTTTTGTATCTCGAGTGGAGTATGTCACGCTAGAAGATTTTTATTTCTCGGTCTGCAAACCTGGCTTGCCTGGTTTGAATATATCGTTGCCACAGACTGACTGCATACAGATTGTGCCACCTCTCATCCCTTGGGAAGAGCTTAGACGTCTTCACATGTACATTTGTAAATGTTGAGATACAGAATAATTTAAAAGGTCAAAAAAATTTTTTGAGGAAGGCTTTTATGTTGCCATGGTTCACAAAACTCCTAAAATCCAGATCGATCCTGCCTCTACTTAACTAGTGTTGGGTGTTGAACCCCTGGCCTGTCTTGCATGGCAGACAAGTACCTTACTGATTAAGCTATATTCAGACCAGCAGGTACATGACATGTAATCTCTGAATATAAATACTAAAACTAAATTATATTAAGTCCCCTCCTTTTTTTATTAGTATTCTTTGTGTGTGTGTGTGGTGTTTTGCCTATATGTATATGCATGTATTGTACACGTAGTGCTGTTGGAGGCCACAAGAACATTTACCCTGGAGTTGTTATTACATTGTGAGCTGCCTTGTGGGTACTGGAAACAGAATCTGTTTTGTTTTTTTGTTTTTGTTTTTTTTTTTGTTTTTACGAGACAGGGTTTCTCTATTGTTTTGGAGGCTGTCCGAACTCACAGAGATCCGCCTGCCTCTGCCTCCCGAGTGCTGGGATTAAAGGTGTGCGCCACACCGCCTGTCAAACCTGTGTATTGTTAAAGAGCAGCAGCAAGTGCTCTTAACACCTAGATAGGTAGGCCTGACGTGTTTGTTTTGGTAGGGATCATTTTTGTGCAGTGTTTTATACCTTAACTTTGACTAGGTATTGTAACAGAGATTTTGATGATGAGAAGATCCTTATACAGCACCAAAAAGCAAAACATTTCAAATGTCATATATGCCATAAGAAGTTGTACACGGGACCTGGGTTAGCTATTCACTGCATGCAGGTAAGTAAGCATTTCTTTCTGTATTTAGTTTTTGTTGCCTTGTGATTTGTAACCACGTAAAGAAGAATTTTCAGCACTCAGGAGGCAGAGGCAGGTGGATCTCTGAGTTTGAGGCCAGCCTGGTCTACAGAGTGAGTTCCAGGACAGCCTCCATACAATACAGAGAAACCCTGTGTCAAAAAAAAAAAACACAGAAGAAGAATTTTCAATTTGTTTTTGCAAATTTGTCTATCACACTAGATAAATAGCCAAATATTCCTAAAAACTTAATTTATGCTGGGCACAAGTTCTCTCATTGAGCAACTTCTCTGAAATCCACATCTGTTCTGTGACCAATAAGAAGATAATTGGAAACTGGGCATTGGTGGCACATGCCTTTTGTCCCAGCACTTAAGACAGAGGCAGGCCAATCTCTGTAAGTTCCAGGCCAGCCTGGTCTACAGACAGGACAGGCTCCAAAACTACACAGAGAAACCCTATCTTGAAAAACAAAAAAATTTTTTTTGAGAATGTTTTGGTAGTATATTCTTGCAGTTATAGTGCTTTAGAATCATTTTAAAAATTTATTTTTATTTTATGTGTTAGATTTTTTGCCTGCATACGTCTTTGTGAGTGTGTTTGATTACTTTGGACTGGAGTTACAGATGGTTGTGAGCCACCATGTAGGTGCAGGGAATTGAAATTGGGTCCTCTGGAAGAGCAGTAAGTGCTCTTAACTGCTGAGCCATCTCTCCAGCTCCAGTGCTTTAGAAGCTTAAGGAAATAGGCTCTTGAATTTGAGCCCTGGGCTACAGTGAAACTTTGTTTCTCAGCCCCAAAAGAGCTGCTATCTTTTAGACCCATAGCTGTATACTATAACAGCTTCTAGTTCTACGTAGATGTTTAATGAAGATTAAGGTAAAGAATAGTTTTCCATGTGTGTTACAGCCATATTTTTTGTGCTCTGTAGCTTCATGTGACATGGGTGACTATTGATGGGGAGGTTAGAGCTAACATTTCCGTTAGTCACAGAAAATTCCTATGGAACAGCAAGCACTGTGTTAAAACACTTGTTTTATATACTTGGGTATACAGCACCCATAGAATTTAGCTTTACAATGAATAAAAACAACAATGTAGTTTGTCTCATGATAAATGATAGAGAAAATGAAAACATAATAAGAAATAAGACTATGAAGCTGTCTGAGATCTGAGAAGCAAATAATTTATTTAGTGTTCTGCCTCCATGTATGCTGCAGGCCAGAAGAGGGCACCATATCTTATTACAGATGGTTGTTGGCCACCATGTGGTTGCTGGGAATTGAACTCAGGACCTTGGAAAGAACAGCCAGTAACCTTTGAGTCATCTCTCCAGCCACACTTTTGATGTTTGTGTACACCTGTAGCATTATGTTGACAGTCTAACTTTGAGCCTTTCACTTCCCAGGATTCCTTTTCACGTATTCTACCACTGCTAGGAAACATCCTTAGCCTGTCTTACACTTTTTTTTTTTTGTTTTTTGTTTTTTGTTTTTCGAGACAGAGTTTCTCTGTGGCTTTGGAGGCTGTCCTGGAACTCACTTTGTAGACCAGGCTGGCCTCGAACTCACAGAGATCCGCCTGCCTCTGCCTCCCAAGTGGTGGGATTAAAGGCGGCGCGCACCACCAACGCCTGGCTCTGTTTTACACTTTGTAAATAGACTGTGGTGTACAGTGAGACCAATTAAGTCTTGGAGGGTGCCAGGCAATGGTGGCCCACACCTTCAATCCCAGCACTCGGGAGGCAGAGGCAGGCGGATCTTTGAGTTCGAGACCAGCCTGGTCTACAAGAGTTAGTTCTAGGACAGTCTCCAAAGCCACAGAGGTCAAACAACTGGTGTTAAAAAACTGTAGGTGTTAAAAGGACTTGAATAGCCAGGCGTTGGTGGCACACATCTTTAATCCCAGCACTCGGGAGGCAGAGGCAGGCGGATCTCTGAGTTCGAGGCCAGCCTGTTCTACAAGTGAGTTCCAGGACAGCCTCCAAAGCCACAGAGAAATCTTGTCTCAAAAACCAAAAAGAAAAAAAAAAGGACGTGAATACAGAAAGTTTTAAAGTAGATCCATTAGTTTATGTAATAACTTTGTTTTTGTTGTTTTTAGGTGCATAAAGAAACTATAGATGCTGTACCAAATGCCATACCTGGAAGAACAGACATAGAGTTGGAAATATATGGCATGGAAGGTATTCCAGAAAAGGATATGGATGAAAGACGACGACTTCTTGAACAGAAAACACAAGGTAAAGTTTGCAATGTGCTATAATATTTGTTTATTTAATGTTTTTTCAAGACAGGATTTCTCTGTGTAACAGTTCTGGCTGTCCTGGAACTCATTGTATAGATCAGGCTGGCCTTGAAATCACTTAAGTTCTGCCTGCCTCTGCCTCCCAAGTGCTGGGATTAAATTAAAGGCATGCACCACCACTGCCCGGCATGATCTATTTTTTTAATATTTTATTTATGGTCTGTACAGTCTTCTGCCATCATGCCAGCAGAGGGCACCAAATCTCATTCAAGGTGTTTGTGAGCCACCATGTGGTTGCCAGGAATTGAACTCAGGACCTCTGGAAGAAGAGTCAGTGCTCTTAACTTCTGAGCCATCTCTCCAGGCCCATGATCTTATTTTTTTGTGATTTATCTGTCGTGTATACAGTGTTATGTCTTCAGAAGAGGGCACCAGATTTCATACATGGTTGTGATCCATTTTATTTTTTTATGTATGTATGTTTGTTTGTTTTTGGTTTTTCGAGACAGGGTTTCTCTGTATTGTTTGGGGGCCTGTCCTGGAACTTGCTGGGTAGACCAAACTGGTCTCAAACTCACAAAGATCTATCAATGCCTCCGAGTGCTGGGATTAAAGGTGTGTGCCACCAGTGACTGGCAACATCCATTTTTTCATTTTTTCTTTATGTGCATTGGTGTCTGTGTGAGGATGTCACATCTTGGTGTTAGAGACAGTAGTGAGCTGCCATGTAGGCACTGGGAATTGAACACTGGGTCCTTTGGTAGAGCAGTCAGTGGTCTTCTATGAGCCATATCTCCAGACCCTTAAATTTATTTCTTGCCGGGCAGTGGTAGCACACACCTTTAATCCCAGCACTGGGGAGGCAGTGGCAGGCGGATCTCTGACTTCAAGAACACCCTGGTCTACAGAGTGAGGCCAGGACAGCCTCCATAGCCACAGAGAAACCCTGTCTTGAAAAAAAATTTTAATTTTTTATTGTTATGTATACCATGTCATATGTGGGGAAGATAATAGGGCAACTGTGCAGTTTGTTATGAGGATTGAACACTGATTGCTGCTTGTACCTTTATACCTGCTAAGTCATCTCACTGTTCTGGGTAAATGATAACAGCTGTGCTGTACTACTACACTCATCTTCCAGTTCTAGTCTTTAATACGTGTTTTGCTTGTACATATATCCGTATTCCACTAGGTCTGGTCTTCACAGGCCAGGAGAGGGTGTTTAATGCCCAGAAACTGGAGTTACATGTGACTATGGGCTGTCTTGTGTGCTGGGAACTAAAACAGCCATCTCTTCAGCTCCTCCAATTCTAATCTTTGGTTGTGTTTTCCTTTTATGTGTTCTGTTTATTAGTGTCGTTTGTCTTGGGATCACAAGCTATGCATTGTGCAGATAGTAGAAAATAATAGCAATCTGATTTTGAGATTTGTAAGTTGCTTCATGTGTATGAAAGAATTTGTCTGTATCATTTGGGTGCCCAACCCATTAGAGGGCTGGAAGAAGATATTGGATTCCTTGAAACTGTAGTTGATTCAGAGATCACTTTGCCTCTGCCTCCAGAATATGGTTTAAAGTCATGGGGCAACATTACTTTTTTTTTTTTGGTTTTACAAGACAGGGTTTCTGTATTGTTTTGGAGGCTATCGGTCCAGCCCGGCCTCGAACTCACAGAGATCCGCCTGCCTTTGCCTCCCGAGTGCTGGGATTAAAGGCGTGCGCCACCACCGCCCGGCGTTTTTTTACTTTTAATGTGTGAAATGTATTAAAACTTGTCTTGCAGAGAGTCAAAAAAAGAAGCAACAAGATGATTCTGATGAATATGATGATGATGAATCTGCAGCCTCAACTTCCTTTCAGCAACAGCCTGTCCAACCTCAGCAAGGTTATATCCCACCAATGGCCCAGCCAGGATTGCCCCCAGTTCCGGGGGCACCAGGAATGCCTCCAGGTAACAGATTGTTTAAAAATTCATACTGAGGAGTTACTGTTATAATGCAGGTGTTATTTCCTTTTGTTTTAAATTTCCAATTCTAATTTTGTTGCTGAAACGCATTGTAGGCATACCTCCATTGATGCCAGGTGTTCCTCCGCTGATGCCAGGGATGCCTCCAGTTATGCCGGGCATGCCACCTGGGTAAGGAAACTTCAGTTGGTTTGTGGGCTTGGGCCAACTTGGGTGCTTTGAATTAAATGTTACTTTTCAGTTTTTTCTTCTTAAAAATATGGGTTCTATAAATCTTTTCCTATTAAGGGGTCAGTAAATATGAGACAAATATATTTGCCTCTGAGGAGAGTAGACTTTTGGGTTTTAGGATGAATGTAGGAAACCATCCTTTAGTTGAATATGCTGTAATTAAAGTGTTCCTTATATAGATTTGAGTGTCATAGCCTTGGGACTATCAAGGATGTTTTGTAGTTGTTGAAAAAGAAAATGTAAATGATTTACCAAAGCATCAGAAACTAAAATGAAGTTGAGGTGTGTGTTGCCCATCTCTTTTACTTAGAGTTGGATGTGAAAGGTGTACAATACACTTTCCCTCTGTATTCTGAAAATCACAGTTAGATTTTGATTTTGTCATACATTTTCACAGATTGCATCATCAGAGAAAATACACCCAGTCATTTTGCGGTGAAAACATGTAAGCATCTCATTCATAATGTAATTCAGGAGGTATAATATAATCATAATGTCATTTGTGTGTGTGTTTAATGATATCTATTCAGTTGACTTAAAATTTTTCTTTTCTTTTTTTTTTTTAAAGCTGTTGTTGCTAGATTTTTTTTAAAGATTTATTTATTTATTACAAACACAACACCCTGCCTCCATCTACACACCAGAAGAGGGCACCAGATCTCATTACAGATGGTTGTGAGCCACCATGTGGTTGCTGGGAATTGAACTCATGACCTCTGGAAGAACAGTCAGTGCTCTTAACCTCTGAGCCATCTCTCCAGCCCCGACTTAAAAATTTTCTAATCTCAATAAAACTGTTTAAGTTTGTCAGCTAATTGACACATCTCTTTAAAGTAGAAAATTAACACATTTCGGGGCAAATAGACACATTAAAATAATTTTTTCCCAGGCACGTTAGCCCGTGCTTTTAATCTCAGAACTTGGGAGGCAGAGGTAGGACTATCCCTTTGGGTATGAGGCCAGCCTGTGGTGCCTAGTGCCTCTCTAGGATACATAGATTCTGTCTCAAATGGGGGAAAAATTCTTTTCTAAAGTGCAGATGCTTTCTCAAGTTATTATTAGGTAGTAAGACCTAATATAAGATGTGATACTTAGAAATCTATAATCTGCCATCCTATTTTGTTATAGAAGATAATCAGATTTTCATTTAATTAGGATTAATGTGTAGAAGGTAAATTTCTGATAAAAAGTTTTAAGTTGTAGAAGTAGAGGAATAATGGTGGCTTAGTTGTAGAGTGCATGTGTAATATGCACCAGGCTCTGGGTTTTATCCCCAACACCAGAAACCCAAAATCAAGCTTATGTTTGTAATACAATGTTTTGAAGTAAATTGGACACTGGCTGATCTTGGAAGGTGAGCTGTGTTTTATTTTTTAAAGGGGAAAATATAAATATGGGTTATGTTTAAGTAATGGTTTATTGTTAGGAAGTAAAATTTTATGTAATCTGAGTTTATATTTGTTAATGTTGGTGATTGGCTTTCCTTGTCCCTTCCAGACAGAAATTTTTACTCTCAGGTGGACAATTCAAATAGAAATGTTTGCATTCTGTGTGCATTTTTTTTAAGTGGAAGATTAATTAGATAGGTCCTCCCGTATATATTCTCAAGAATACCCTTAGATCTCAGAGACCTTGCTTAGTTTTTTTTTTTTTTTCCCTTTTTTTATGGGTCACCTGAAGAGTTTGGTTTTTTGGGTGTTTATTATTGTAGTGTATGGTAGATCCTTGTGGTTTGATTGATTTCAGTATTTGAGATATTCAAGTTTTTTATTTAGTGTTTTATAATTGCCAAAATAATTATAGTGGTTTATATTGTTAATTAAATTTTTTTCTTAAATTTTGCTTTTTAATAGAATGATGCCAATGGGTGGAATGATGCCACCTGGACCTGGAATACCACCTCTGATGCCTGGGATGCCACCAGGTATAAAATGTTATTTTCCCTTTGTAATGTGACTGGTAGTATTTATTCCTTACATGTTTCTAATTCTCTTACATGTTGAAAGAAGTTTGCTAAGTAGAATGGGTGTGCTTACATATAGCCATCGCTTTAATCCTAGCAGACATAGGCAGATTTCTGTAGTTCCAGACTATAGCTTGTACATGGTTACTCAGCTGGCAGGGATGCAGAGCGGTGGAAATTCAAGCTTTTAATTCCCAGAAAGTTTATAGTTGGGATCTAAATTTGTAAAAAGACAGTTTGAGAGGTGTGATTGTTGCAAGGAACAAATGGTCATGATCATAGACTTTGTTTAAACTGAGTGTTTTATTGACTTGGGTTCCTTGGAGACCGACCATCCCTCCATCCGTCTGTTGCTGCAGGTATGCCCCCTCCTGTTCCACGTCCTGGAATTCCTCCAATGACTCAAGCACAGGCTGTTTCAGCACCAGGTATTCTTAATAGACCACCTGCACCAACAGCAGCAGTACCTGCTCCACAGCCTCCAGTTACTAAGCCTCTTTTCCCCAGTGCTGGACAGGTAAGGTGAAAATCCTGATAAAAGGAGTACATTTACGTTTAAAGTGGACTTGTTTACTTATATCTTTAAGTTGTCAAAGATTTCTCGAATAAAGATTCAAGTAATACACCAAAATATAATTTGCTATGTTAATCTCTTCTATTCACAACAGAAAGGAATCATGTTGTTTTCTCATGATTGTGTATTCTTAGTTGTAGCTAGAAATGAAAGTTGAGTTTCCAAGGAATTAAGTATATGATGTTTCCAGGTCCTCCATTGTCTTGCTGAATTTGGTCAGAGGCAGTGATGAAATTTCTTAAAAAAGACTTGAGTAGGCCTGTCAGTGGTGGTGTATACCTTTATATTAAACCTAGAACTGCAGAGGTGGGTGAATCTCTGAAATCAAGGCCAGCCTGGTCTACAGAGCAAGTTCCAAGGCAGTCACGGCTATACAGTAAAATCCTGTGTTGATAAAATGAAAGGGAAAAAAAAGTGGGTGGGTGTTTTTTGCTCATTTAGAGAAAACCATGGTAAATTGCAGTGCCACTCTGGAGTTGTATGAGCATCATTTAACGGCTTTTAGTCATATTTCCTTAGCCTTTCTTCCATCAAAACTTTAGAGGTGAGTAGGCTAGATGGTCAAACTATTGTGCATTTCATTTAGAAAAGTAGATAATATTTTAAGGGATCCTTTTTAAGATTATCGCTCAGATGTTTTCTTAATTTCTTATTCTATCTGGGTGCCAAATTTTTAAGTGCCTTTAAAGCATATTAATTTACATTTTTGTGGTGGATAGAGATTTTAAATGTGTTAATCTTTTATCAGGCCCTATAGTCTTATAGTGTAGAGCATCTGCATGGAGAACAGTGTGTCATTATTTTCAATTTGATAGTCTTGAAATACTGCAATGCAAAACAGTAAGTTTATCAAAGACGCTTATGTCTAACTAGTTGTATTGGTATAGAGATTTTTTTGAGGCATGTGGTTATATATACTGTTTATTGAAAATGAAATTACTCTGCCTCTTTAAGTGACATTTGATTGCATTTCAAACTGTATTTACAAAAGAATGCAATCTATACTAAAAAAAAGTGCCACATAGCATATTTTTACCCATTTGTTCGGAGACGGTTCATTGTTTCCTTTCTTTTATGCTACAGATGGGGACACCTGTAACAAGCTCAAGTACAGCTTCATCCAATTCAGAAAGTCTGTCTGCATCTTCTAAAGCTCTGTTTCCTAGCACAGCACAAGTACGCAGGAAGTTGCAGTTTAAATTTTTTAAAAATGGCTTTACAACTTAACCCTTTGGACCCTTTATAAAAGCTAAATCTTACAAATATATTTAGTTTTTTAGAAGTAAAACATACTAAAACTCAACTGGTGTTTAAAATTTGAATTCATACTAATGTCTTCAACAGAACACTCTAAACTTAAGTGGTTCTAAAGGGTTAAAAGCATGTGAGCAGTAAATGAACTATAGTGGCCAATGGTTAGCCTGGCGCATGGTTAAGCTGTGTTTAATTTATGCTATTTAATGCATCACGTCTTTAAGGAAATTAGCACTCTGCATTTGGTTCTAAAGTTGACCTAGATTTTTAAAACATTTGTATTATGAAAGTAATGTGTGCTCTTGGTAACTTAGAGCCTGTGCTATTAACCCCCTTTGTCTATACTGTAATCTAGGCATTACTAATTTGGAGGGTAGTATGTTGCTATCTCTAGAATATTTGTGTTGGTAGTAACATAAGTTATTATATAAACTCTTATATTCTGTGGTTTATCTTTTGAGCTGCTTTTAAGATAAATTAAGCAGAGAATGTAGCAGAATAAAAACAGTTGCATTGAATACTATTTCATGATTCTATAGAAAACTAGAAATATATAGCATTGTTTATGGAGAGGAGCTGTAAAACAGATCTGAGAAGTATAGTAATTAAAACCCACTATCTTGATATTCTTACAGATTGAATTTTGTGGAACATATATATGCATTAACTTGGTTTTAGTTTCATTTTAAGTTTGCTGTATTTGATGTTGCTGCCTTTTCTAAGTACATTTTCTGTTATACTCAACTTTGGGTATTGAAATTTATTGGTAAAGTATTCTTATTTTACAGGCTCAGGCAGCTGTCCAAGGACCTGTTGGTACAGATTTCAAGCCCTTAAATAGTACTCCTGCAACAACTACAGAACCCCCAAAGCCTACATTCCCTGCTTATACACAGTCTACAGCTTCAACCACTAGTACAACAAATAGTACTGCAGCAAAACCAGCAGCTTCAATTACAAGTAAGCCTGCTACACTTACAACCACCAGTGCAACCAGTAAGTTGATCCATCCTGATGAGGATATATCGCTGGTAAGTTGTTTATGGGTTTTACTAGTATTTGATCAAATATCATTATAGCAACTTGCCCATTGAAGAGGTTTGAAGTTGTACTTAGATGGGCTTATCTGATTTTTAAAGTTCCCAAACATTATACTATAAAAGGATGTCCCACCCTTTCTGTATCTAAGAATGAAGACAGTAAGCTCACTTCTTAGACTAAAAATGTTTAGGCATACATTTGCTTGTACTGATTGACAAAAATGTTGCCTGTCAGAGTCTAGAATTTTTGAAGCCTGTTTTATTTGACAGAAAGTTAATAATCTCAAAAACCAAAAAAACAAAGTTAATACGTAGATTTGTAATTTTATGAACTTAGGTAAGATTTTTAAGGACTGGAGATTTTAAGTAGTAGCACTGATTTATAAGAGCAAAAGGAGTTACTGGAGAGTAATTGTACTTTTAAAATTAGCAGGATTTTGGATGTTTGTCTTTATTCTTGAGGAACCTTCTTTCATTCTTACCTTAGCCATTATACATTATTTTTATTCTCAGGAAGAAAGAAGGGCACAGTTACCTAAATATCAGCGTAATCTTCCTCGGCCAGGACAGACTCCAATTGGTAATCCACCAGTTGGACCAATTGGGGGTATGATGCCACCGCAGCCAGGCATCCCTCAGCAGCAAGGAATGAGACCTCCAATGCCACCTCATGGTACTATTTTTGTTTGTGTTTTGTTGTGGGTGGGAATTTTGAGTACATATGAAAATGTTAATGTAAAATGTATTTGTTTAAAGGCACAATTCACAGACTAATTATGTATATTTTGTTGTGTGTTTTAGGTCAGTATGGTGGTCACCATCAAGGCATGCCAGGTTACATTCCTGGTGCTATGCCACCTTATGGACAGGGACCACCAATGGTACCCCCTTACCAAGGTGGGCCCCCTCGACCTCCAATGGGAATGAGACCTCCTGTTATGTCGCAAGGTGGCCGTTACTGATCTTACTTCATCAAGTCTAATAGGTTTGGAGATTAAACCTTTTCTCAACTTGTGCTGTTTATATAGACAAGCTTCCGTCTATAAGGCTTCATTGTGACTTTAACAAACATTATCTTCCCACATACCAGGAACTATTGGACATTTATTTGACATGGGAGAAATTATTTGGAATAATAAAACAGGAACTTTTCCTGAAGTTGCAATTTATACTGTATGGCTTCTTTTTCATGTTTCATCTAGGTTTTTAGAAGTGAAGTAATAGTAAATTTGGTTCGTTAAATTGTGAAGGCGCTGGAATTACATGAACATACCATCTTAAATAAAGGCAAGTTTTGTAAGCTTACATTGCTATTTGTAAAGTTATGCCTTCACAGCATTTCCAATGCTGTTGGACTTAATGTCCCCAACCTAGCTTGGTGAGGGCGGTAACTGTTTCCAAGTACGTGTACATTGGAAGTCTGAATGTATAACAATATTTAATGTATTTAGAGAGTTCCTCGTGTTGCAGGGTTTAAGAAATCTGGCCCGCTGAGGTCATGTGACTTTTCTGTACTGTTAAATTTCATTGTAATAAAACGAGAGAAAGATTTATGCCTTTTTATTCATAACCCAGCTGTGGACTACTGACTGAAAGGTTTGTACAGATGCATGCCACAGTAGACGTCCACACAATAAAATTCAGTTACCAATACGATTGGATTCTTTAAGTTGTAGATTTTTTTCTTAGCTGCATGTTTTAATATTATATATAGAATTACTCTTGTTAATGTTGCATTTGACAGAAACACATGAATCGATACAAATGGGTATAAAGTCTTTATGTGTCATTGTTTCACATCATTTGGTATCAGATGTAACAAATTTAAAGTGTAAACTAAGGTTGTTTAGAGCCTAGTGCCAGACCCATTCATTTTCTTTGATTAATTTTAAGACCAGTTACGTACTTTAATGGACCTCAGAAGCATGCCAGGTGCAAACTAGAAGCTTAGGTGCATGCTTCTTCATTCATGGCTTGATATATGTTAATTTTAAACATTCATCTATTACAGTGTTTAATTAACAGATTATTAGCTACATTTTATTATGTTCCTTGGGTTGGTACTTGGATATGTGTCCTCTGTTTCTAAAGCCAAATGGTTAATTACGATTCTGGGAGTCGTACTGTGTTCTCATAGATAATTATACTTTAGGGGTGACTTCTGTTGGCGATTTTGTGTTGTCTCATGATTGTAGATCTTACTAATTTTGTTGAAGTTTTGCCAGTCTTTTGGGGGGGGGGACCTTGAGAGGGTATGGAATGTTTTAAGAATCATATAGTCTACATAGAGTAATTACCCATATAGCAAATACAAGTTGATTTGATTTATTCTGAATATGAACTGATTATGAACTTAAAACTTCTGTGAAGGTATGAGATGTGACACCACCAAAAATGGCTTTAATTTTATAGGAATATATTGAAAATGCTTGACTTATTAAAGGGGAAAGTTAACAGATAAAGGTTCTTCTATGGGATGAAATGTGACAAATAATTGAAAGCTACGGTCCATTGTCAGTATTGTATGTCTGCACTGATTTGTTTTATGCCTCTTCTACTGAGGTGCAGAAAATTTCAGTTTGTAACAAAAACATCCATATATTGCCAGAGATGCATTATTTTGCCAGCAGCTAATCTATTATGTATGCAGTGTTCTGCCTGCAGGCCAGAAGAGGGTACCAGATCTCATTAAAGCTGGTTGTGAGCTTCCATGTGGTTGCTGGGAATTGAACTCAGGACCTCTTAATCTCCAGCCCTTGGTACCACAAACCTTTAATCCCACAGAGGCAGCTGGATCTCTGTGAGTTCAAGGATAACCTGGTTTATAACACTACAAAGAGAAACCCTGTCTTGAAAAAAAAAAGATAGAGAGAAAGAAAAATATTGCAGATTAAAAAAAATTCCAAGGTTAACTTTACATTGAAGAAATGCTTCTAAAAATAAATCTCATGATTTCATGTATTGATAGAACTTCATACTTAATTCAAACTTCTATTTTACACTTGTATTTTGTTCAGACAAGAGCAATATATTAGGGTTAGTTCTGAAGTCTACAACTTAAATAGGTAAAGGAATTCTAATTAAAACTTGTGTGTGGTGGTAAATAACATTTAATTATATCTCCTATGTTTTGTAGATATATGACACAGGGGAGCTATCTATTTAGTATATTGAAAGTATAATTTTTGCATGCATCAAGGATATTAAGCTTCTAGAAAATACCTTTTACCTAATTGCTTCTGAGGTCCTTAGTGTAGTTAACTCACAAGTGTAACAAATTTGAAACAACTTACACTTCTTTAATGCCATTAAAAGTGAATTTCAGCTCTGCTCACTCACAAAAGGCTGCCTTTAGTTTTTTGGTATGTTCCTGTGAACACACCTTAGAATATTTAAGGAAGTTATACAATCAATGTACTTGTCAGCTTTGGCTCTACCTTCATACTCTACCTTCATCCACTGTGGGTCAATTAAAAATAAACTGTCTGGCACTAGTTTCTATTCTGTTTTGCTACTTATAGTGAAAACATCAGTACAGTTTTCAATGAGTGCTGGAGTTACCATTTAATTTGAATCCCTACTATTGAAGTAATCAAATACCATTTGTTAGGGGGAGTAATTACCTGATCAGGTTACATAATGAACTTAAACTTAGTTTAATGAATTACTTATGGAAGTCTCCAAAACATAAGTGTGGACTCAGAATGTAATTGTAGATTAAAAGAGCTGCTCCTTTTCTGTTGCTTGCTTGATAATTGGGACTTAAAAATTGATGCATGTCTTTTTAATTAATTGGGTGATGTTTTTCTAAAATTAAAATTTTCTTCTTCCTATAGCCCTGCCATAGGACAGGCTGAGGCTGAGTCTCAGTGTTGCCCTGTTCAGTCTGAGGCAAGTGGGATTTATTTTATTACTTACAGGGGCTTTCACAGCTTTACGGCTGTTGGATATTCATGTCCCCAAACTTGCAGCAAGTTTGGTGAAGGCCCCTAAATTTAATTAAACTTAGGATTTTTATATTCCTTGGGCAGAGAAGGCTCTATATTAATATTCACGTTTGACTGTGGTGTAAGAAACATATAAGTATTGCTTTATTATATACTATCTAAAGCTTTATAAACCTTAATAAATTGATCATTTTATATTTGTGATTTGGAGGCATGAAATGTTTCATTCAAATTTTTACTTTGACCTCTAGGAAAATAATACTGGTTGTTTTCTGTTCAAACTTAAATTTAATCTCAAGGATAAGCTTAATTATTTGAATGCCACAGGATAATGTTTGTTCTCAATCCCAAGCTTATATTGAACATGAGGGTGGTAAGGTTATCTGGAAATGGCTTAATGACCTTTCTCAAATCTCACCACACTAGAGCAAATGTTAATGTAGAGCCCTGTAACGAGTGGGAAGGTGATTTGTCTGTGCTTGTGTGGTGTGTATGGGTGTAGACTACAGGTGTGGTATGGGTTTGGGTATTACATGTCTCAATGGATAGATAACTAATTTTCAGGCAGCCAAATTGAAATTGGATCATGTGATAAGTCTCAAACTTTGGAATGTTTCTTTTTGGAACTTAAGTTTTATCTTTTACTGATGAGTGCTTTATATAATCACACACCAGTAGTATATCCACATTTGTTTTAAATTAGAATTTGCTTTGATTATGATGGCCTTTAAAAACTTGTATGTTGGGAATGGGGATGATGGAAAAAGGTAACTTATATTTTGTTTATTCCTTGCACTAGACTAGAAACATTTTAAAATCTTTTGTGGTTATCTTGGGGTTTTGTCTGTTTTATTTATTTTTCCAAGACGGGGTTTCTCTGTAGCCCTGACTGTCTGGAATTTGTTTACTAGGCTAGTCTCAAACTTACAGATCTGTCTGTCTTTGCCTCATGCATGCTGGGTTTAAAAGCTTGCACCAGCACACCTGGCTAGATTTTAATTCTTAAGAACTACTGTTTACATGACAATATTTCACTGAAGTGTTTTATTACTTTAGTAATTACAGTTTTAGGTTTACTAAGACTTAACTATAGTTCAGTCATAGAAGGCTTATCTCTAATGCTCAAGGCTCTGAATTTCATTCCTACCACCCACCATTTAACAACTAATTGGAGATACATTGTATTTTTGTAACCTTTTCTCCTGACCCAATTCTACATTAATAGTAAAATGTTATTTACTTGAATAATAGGGCTGGTGGAGAGATTTAACAGATACCTAATCAAAGGTTTTAGGTCCTGATGAAGTCTGCTGGTAAAACTAACTTCACCTTAGTGAGATATTATTTGAATAAGCTACTGAATATGGGATTTGTATTGGTTAGAATTTACTAAGTAAGTCAGATAGGTTTTTTGGGGGGGTTTCGAGACAGGGTTTCTCTGTATTGTTTTGGAGGCTGTCCTGGAACTAGCTCGTATTGACCAGGCTGGCCTCAAACTCAGAGATCCTCCTGTCTCTGCCTCCCGAGTGCTGGGATAAAAGGCATGCGCCACCAACACCTGGCCAGATAGGTATTTTTTAAAGGTAATATTTGCCTATGTAATCCTGAAGTTGTATATTCCAAAATGAAACTAAATTTCCTCTAAAAGGAAGTGGAGTGTATGAGTAAACTTTATTGGGTAAAATACTCCCCAATTTTCTATGCTAGTTTCCTCATGAATGAAATTGAGGGTTTCCTTAATATTTAGTGTTTTTTTCTTATCTAAGTCATTTTAATAATCTTGTTTTTATACTAATCTAGCTTTTCTCTGTGATAACTGTAAAATAAGCACCTTACAAATATAGTATGTAGACTCTCATGTGGTATGTCTGAATTAGCATAATAATTACTTTTTAAAACTAGTATCTTAAGCTCTTAGACATTGTCAATAGACCACTATTAATACATAAATTGATAGTAAATAAAGCTTGACTTTAAGTTGCCAAGAAACACAAGAGCAGCTGTTCTAAGTCCTTGTGTTGAACTTCAGGGGTTTTATTTGTTTCAAGGCCAGGTGTGGTGACACTTGTGTAATTCAGCATTCTGGAGGATGAGATGAGATAAGGGTCTTCCTGCAAGTTGAAGGCCATCCAGAGTTAGAGGGATAAAGGCTAGTGGGTCTGAGTTCAGTTTCAGCCTGGTCTGCCTATGTATAATTTCAGACCATCCAGTTCTATCTAATGCAATGCTAAATAATTTTTTTTATTCTGTAAGGCTAAGAAAATTGTTTTTAATGTGCACTATTTTTTTCTCTTAAGTGCTGTGCATTTCCTATTCAAAATATATTTTTCCTTCCATTAGTTTGAATGAATTGAATTAATTTTATGTAAAATATACTGTTTCATTTCCAGTGGAAAATGTTTTAGTAAGAAAAATGTTAGGCTACGAGAGATACACAGTCTAAAATTTAGTAATTGTTAAAGCCAATTTCAACTATTTTTGTTTAAGTTAAATATATTGAAAACTGTGTAACTGGCTCTGTAGGTTTTCACTTTGATTAGGGTCTTGAGAATGAATATGACAATATGTTTTTGTATGTGTTGTCATTCTGCATAGGGTCCCAAAAAGAGGATGTGTATACATTGCCTTAAAGGATTACTTGGACTCCAGCCATTATTTTAAATGTTGCTATGATTTGTAAAGTTTTTGGGCAGTATAATGACTTATTTACTGTTTGACATTTTCTAAGCCTATTTTATCTGGAAACTTTGTATGTGTGTATGTGTGTGTATCTGTGTGTCTGTTTTTCTTTTGGGCTTTTAAAAGTCTGTCTTCACTATTTGACAATTTGCGGGATTGGTAATGAAATTCTTGTTGCCCTACTTGAGTAAAAATGAAGAATGAAGCTGGAGGTAGCCTAGTGGCAGAGTGCATGTTACGTATGCATGAAGCCCTGGATTCAATTCCCAGCACCAAAAAGAAAAGAAAAAGAAGAATGAAGACCTGTTTCCCCAATATAGTATACATTAACTGACACTGGTTATGTGAGAAACTATTGTATGGTGGGTTTAGATTTAAGAACCTAAAATGTTATAAGAATAACTTTCTGCTTATTTTTTGTTCCTTTGAGGTTTTACCCTCTTATTTTGGTGAAGATCATTGACATTTTTAAGATGATCTGCTAATCCCATGTGAAAATAATCGTTTCTACTATCTTTCTAGGGTTGTTTAATTGCCCAAGTTGTCCAAGAGAAGAATTATTTTATAGTCTTTCCAGTTTAAATCAGAAACAGGGTATCTATTTAATATTTAAGAGTTAATTCCCCTTTACTTCTAGCTGGTTAATATAGGTGGAGGAGAAGTAACAAAATTTATAGCCATCCCCTTTTTAATTGGAGATTAAAAATAAAAGTTAGAATTGCCTGTAAGGTTTGCCTACATGCTAATTGAAATTTAAAAGTTTATCACATTTAAATATATATGTCCCTTTTTAGGGAAAATAAAATTTCCAGCACACCTTACACATTGAACACATTATTGATTGGACATTAAAGCTTGTCCAAGAGATACTTCAGTGTTCTAGCTCATTATCAATTTCAGTAGCCAATGTAAAGCAAATTTTGTTAGGCTAAGGCAAACTTTTAAAATGTACTGCTATCAGGCTCTGAGGAAATTAAATGCGCATTGACTTTTTAAAGTATGGGTTGAACTCCTCAGCTTAATACAATTTGTGTTTTTGTTAACTAGCAGCAGAATTTCAGCATTTCCTACTTACTGGTAGAGAAGAAAAATCCCACAGCCCTGCCAGTACAGGTTAGTTTAATCTGTAAGTACCTGATGTTCCTTTTTTTTTTTTTATCCCCACCCCCAACATACCCATTTAAAGCACATAAGGAAGAAAACTGCTATGCAGTTACTTAAATGTGAGTATAAATAATAGATCCATTGGATAATCTCAAACACTCAGTTCTTGGACCAGAGTGGGTAGCTCTAAGTTTGCCGACCCTAGTTGTTAAATGGCGTAATGCTGCTCTTTTATTATCTGGTTGTTCCTGAACCTATGTAGGTATGTGCCTTTTAAAAGGCAGGGGGGAAATAGTTTGGTTAGCTGAGTCCATGTAGTCCAAAACTTCAGGTCCATGATCCTTGATTAAGGAACTCATGGTGTTTTCAGTTACTCTTTACCTTTTACAGACTTTCTCGACTATTAGCAGTGAAAGATGTGGTGCACAATTGTAAGCTAGGGAGTTTTACTTTTGTTGTTTTAATTAGATACAGTAATACTTGTACATAATTTGTTCATCTGTAAGCTGTAAATTAGCGTGCCACTGTGATTCATCACTGACAAGGAAGTTCACTGCATAGTCTTGCACACTTTTCATCCCAGAACTCTGCAGGTAGAGCTAGAAATGATATAATTTTAAGCCCAGGATGGTCTGTGTAATGATTTCCTGGCATAAAATTAGATTCTTATGTAGTTCTTGGAGTTTAATGAGAAAGTCATACACTAGAGATTTAACCAGTGGAAATAGTAAGTTGGAAGTTAATTAGCCATCCTTCAATTGGATCATTATTTTATTTGAGAACAATATGATTTGTCTAAAAGTTTAAAGACCCATATCTAGCAGCCAATAATAAAAATATTGTGAATTTTTTTCCTCCACTTTGATTTTTGATTGTAAAATTGCCTGAGGGCTTAAGTTTGATTGCCTTTCACAGTTTAATCTAAGAATGGCGTAGATACAGTGGAAATGGTTTTCCTTATCTCTTTAGAGCTGCCTTTCTGGTGAGTACTGCTTTATAATTTTCATATCGTGGTTTTATTTTTTTAGCCTAGCTGAAATGTGACAATGATCAAAGAGGTGAGCAGTAAGAATTTTCATAACTTGGGTACTAATTGGGTCAAATCTTTGACCATTACTCCTGGACATTTCCCTATGTGTGCCCCCCCCCCCATTTTTCTAAAGGGCGATGAGCACAAATATGTTAACACAGATTATTTCAGTATTTCCTTTGAGAATTATTGCTTTACTTAAGATTAGTGATTAAGAAAATCTAGGGAAGCCGGGCGTTGGTGGCGCACGCCTTTAATCCCAGCACTCGGGAGGCAGAGGCAGGTGGATCTCTGTGAGTTCGAGGCCACACTGGTCTACAGAGCGAGTTCCAGGACAGCCTCCAAAGCCACAGAGAAACCCTGTCTCGAAACCCCCCCCCCCCCAAAAAAAGGAAATCTAGGGACAGGACAGATGTTAAGACCATGTCTTTACTCTAGGTATGGTGGTGCACCCCCTTAATCCTACCACTCAGGAGAGAGGGGCAAGTGGATCTCTGGGAGTTCCAGAACGGCCAGGACTATGTAGAGAAACCCTATCTCAAAAAATAAAATAGTGAATAGTTCATTCTCATTGTTAGGTGATTCAACCACCTATGTCCATGATTAAGAATACTTAAAAAATTTTTTTTGTTTCTCACTGCATAGGTAAATGATAGAATTGTATTCTGTTGCTGAACAGTTTAAATCATTCCAACCATGCATGGAAAACTTGTGTTACAAATACTGATTTCTAGCATATGTTTACCTGTGAAAATTAGCCCATAAATATATTTATTTCTGTCTTGTTTAGTCATTAGCCTGTGACATAAGGGTTTCTTTCCCTCTTGCTTTTAGGCACATTCTAGATAATGCTAGTATATTTGTATATACATTCGATTTCTGCTATAACCTTTGTGAACCAATAAGGTCAATCCTGTTGCTTTTAGTATAAACTTAGTATTCTAAAATCTGGAATTTAATCTGAGCATGTATGGTAATGTATTTTAGATGAGCCCTCAACAAAGTCTTGAGTCTGAATTTGTGTCTTTAAGATTTAAAGTGAAATAAATTTCTAAGGAACTCTGTCCTTTCCTAGCACGGATAAACAGACTGACAGTTGGTAAGTATGTAACTTTACATGCATGTAGTGGTAAGGGTGAGTTGCCAGACTACTCCAAGATAATTAGAAGTGAACAGAAATTCCTGAATCTTTCTAGGAACTTGATATGTATATCTAACGTTTTCTCCAAATATGTGTACTCAAAATGATTAAAGTGAAATGTACCTTACTCGTTTGTCTGATTTGTTTTTGTTTTTTTTTCCATTGGGTTTTTTTTTAGAGGGGGTGGTAATTTAAGTGATAGAAATTTTTTGGTTTAAACCTTTTCCTTGAGGTATTAAATACATGACTATTGAAATTAACCTTATTATAAGTTAAGGGAAGAGGGGGCTTTCTTCTCATTTTTTTATGTAGTTGTGTGCCCCTGTTACATTGTAAGATCTATCTTAGGGTATGTAGTTCTTAGGCAGATCAGAGAACAACTTCTTGGAGTTTGTGTTCCTCTTTGGGTTCTGAGAAGCCATCTCATCATCCCCCTGGTATTGTATTAGAGAAGGACTAAAGTAAAAAGTGCTAATAGAAATGGTTATTTCTGCCAAGTCATTTCTGTACATTATTTTTTTTTTTTTTGAAAAGTTACAGAAATGGGTTTGCCTATCTTTATTTGTTTTGTTTTGAGACAGGGTTTCTCTGTGGCTTTGGAGGCTGTCCTGGAACTCACTTTGTAGACCAGGCTGGTCTCGAACTTACAGAGATCCACCTGCCTCTGCCTCCCAAGTCCTGGGATTAAAGGCGTTCGCCACCAACGCCTGGCTTGCCTGTCTTTATTCTCCAGGTTGTTCTTGCCAAGTGTCAGTTGCATTTGGAGAAAATGAAGAGCAAAATCACTTGGGGGCTGTAATTGTATGGGGGATCTTAGCAAAGCACCAGAAGGAATACATTTATTACCATGTGTGTAATTACATGGTGCATGAGCAGACATCTTTTACAATGTAAGTTCACTAATGATAATTTCATGCTAGCCTTTAATTCACTAACAAACCAACTTTACAAATGAACTTTGTGAATAAATAAAATTTTCCTACACAAATAATAGTCTATGTGATATTTTGTATCTCCTGGCTCAGGAGCATTAGTTTATAGTGTGTTCTTTCAAAACCCTAGTCTGCATATGTATGCACACTTGAAACTATTGGATTTATACTTACAACATTGTAATTGAATCCAGCATATATTTTCAGTGTATATGCTAAGTAGGATCTGTGTGTCCTTGGCTGTCCTGGAACTTGATGTAGACCCTGGTCACCTGGAACTCCCAGAAATCCTGCCTCCCCAGTGCTTGGATTGAAGGTGCACACCACCTAGATAAGCACAAATTGCATTCTTTTCATCCTCAATAGTTCGTATCATTTGGTATCTCCCCATGGTGTGCCATATTTTACATAGCAAACTAAATAGCTCACTAAATTTTGCAATTATTAACTGTTTTATGTATCCTACAACTAGATAATGTCATCCTGCTTCAGTTCTAGCCCATAACCCCCCAAGGCAGTGTTTCTCATTGTAACCCTGGTTGTCCAATCTGTAGAGCACGATGGCCATGAAGGCAGAGATTCTTCCCTTAGTTTAATACCAAGCCCAACTTTAAAACATTTATTTTTAAAACATCTGCCAAGGTTTAAAGAGGTGGTGTGAGCTATCAGGAATTGCATTGGCAAACAAACCCAGGTCCTTTGCAAGAACACCCACTGGTCTTAACCACTCAACTTTCTTCAGCCTAATAAAGGAACTATTAAAAAAAAAACCTTAGGCCCAGAAGTGGTGTCTGAGCTTTAATCCCAGCTCATGGAGAAGTCAGAGGCAGGCAAATCTTGAGTTCCAGGGGAGCCTGATGTACAGGGCTATTTGGAAGCCTTGTCTCAAGAAACCTGAATAAAGGGGCTGGAGAGAGGTAAAGAGCACTGACTGCTCTTCAAGAGGTCCTGACCATCTATAAATCAATCTGGTGCCCTCTTCTGGGATGTAGGCAGAATACTGAATATGTAATAAATAAATCTTTAAAAAAGAAACCTGGCTCTGCTTTTTCAGAGGATCCAGTTTCAATTTACGGCACCCACATGGCAGCTCCGAACTGTCTAACTCATGTTCCAAGGGATCCACCGCCTTCATTCACGAAAAACACCAAAAATAAATTATAAATAAGTTGATTGAATATGTGTGTGTGGATCATTTTCCTATATAAGTTTGTACCACATGCATGACTGGTTTCCACAGAGGCCTGAAGAGGGTGTTAGACATCTGGGTGTCCTGTATTCAAGAGCAAACAATATTAACCATCTCCAACCTCTTTGACCAAAAATTGATTTGGGATACATGATTTCTATCCTTGCCTGTCCTGGATCTCTGTAGATCAGGCTGGTCTCCAACATTCTTAGTACTGAGCCAGCACCTACCTGCTGAGACCAAATCTTAAAGGGTCCAGACTTTTCTAAAATTTGGAATTACACTTGTTCAGTCCTCCAAATAACAGGTCACAGACCTCTGCTACCAGATCTTAAAACCCATATGACATATACAAAGGCACTTAATTGTGAGATGTAATTCAATGGCCCATTATTTAACCGATTTCATTTTCAGTGTAGATAATTCAAGAGTACTTCTATTTGTAGGATTTAAAACATGAATGAGCTGTGGTGGGTTTGTTTTTGAGTTATGCTTGTAAGTTGTCATGTGGGTGAATCCAGAACCAATGGAAGAGCAGCCAGTGCTCTTAACTGCTGAGCCATCTCTGTGGTCTCCAGTAGGTCACTTTGGAATCGTGTGTATGTGGTGTGTGTAGATGTGTCAGGATTTCTCTTGTGTAGCTCTGCTGTTCTGTCACTGCGTCTGTAAATTAAGCTGTCTGCAAAACTCAGAGATCTGCTTGCCTTTGCCTCCCAGGTGCTAGGATTAAAGGCATGGGCCACTACTGCCCTTCCACTTTTGGAATCTTACTGAGGAAACGTCCCTGCCCAGCCACAAAACCTAAGAACGGCTCTGAACTATTGACATTTCTTAGTATGCTTATGTCATTCTTCGTTAATTTATAAATACTATTGATTTTTTTAAAAAAAGATTATTGATTTCTGTCTTGGGTGAAGGGGTTAGCTTACTTCATTTACTGTACTTTGGCTCTTTGTAATTATATCATGTTTTGTTTCATTGTTGGCATTTGTCAATTGGTTTAGTAATAGAGGCTGTCTCAGCTGAGAACAAAGGACTGCTGTCACTTCTTAGATTACATAAATAAGCCAGCCTAGGTTGGGGCATAATGTATTTTCTGTAAGCATGATTGTGTTTTGTTTATACAATGAAAGTTTCGTTTGTGTAGCCCAAGCTGGCCAAAAACTCAATATGTAGGTTACTAGTACTTTGTTGATTTATTGTCTTTTTTTTTTCTCCCCAAAGAGAAAGATGTCTATATGATCCATAGATTAGGTTGGCCTTGAGCTGTTAGTCATTCTGCCTCAGCTAGGATGTGTGCCATCTCAACTAATAGGTTGTTTCTTAGCAATTAATTTGTTTTCAGGAATCACCTGAAAATCTTACTAAGTTTATTGTTATACTTAGTGTGTGAGTGTGCCTGTGTTACTTTATGTGCCACATGTCTCCTGAGGACAATAAAGTATGTGATCCTCTGGAACTGGAATTACAGATGATTATGATCTTTGAAGCAAATCTAGATCTACTTCAAGAGCAGCTTCTGACCTCTTTCTTTGTGTGTTTACATTCTTACTGCTGGGATTACAGGTATGCACCTCCTGGCCGTTACAACTTCATCTAAAAATTTCTACTCCCTTAACCTTGTTATGTGTTAATCTGAGTTATTTTAGCTGGCAATTCATGTGGCCATTAAGCCTGAAGTCCTGAGTTTGATCCTTGGGATTTCCATTTTTGGTCTTAAAAACTGGACATGGTAGTATACACGTTTTAATTCCGGCATTGGAGAGGCAGAGGCAGGCAGAACTCTTACCAGTTATCCTGATATGCATAGGAAGTACCAAACTAGCCAGGGATATATCAGGAACAGGGTAGTGCCTGGCAGTAGTGGTGCATGCCTTTAATCCCAGCAGTGAGTACTAGGATAGCCAAAGATAACATAGAAAACCTGTCTCTAAAATAAGTAATGTACAAGAGAAGCTTGATAAAAATTAAAGACAGATTGCTAACAAAGTAACAGTATGTTAAAATTATAATGATCTGGGAACATAAACACATTTCTTTCCTCAGAATTACTCAGTGGCAAGTACAAAGCTCTTGCTTTGTGGTTCACAGCTATATTCTAAACACCCAGGAGGCTGAGGATTGCCATGAGTTTAGACGAGCCAGGAATACATGAGAAAATTTACCTCAAAGCAAAAAACGAAACACACACCCCCCAAAAAAACTATTTGTGGGCTTTTGTATCTGCAGGTCCTTCAATTTAGCCTTGGCTTTCTTAGATTTCAAATGTAACTTCAGTAAGACAATTCTGCGACAGGGTCTCAGTAGTTATTTGGACTGAAACTCACTATGTAGACTAGTTCATGAAGTTCTGCCTCCTGGGTGCTGCGGAAAGTGGAGTATTCCACCACAAACTGCTGAACCACCTTCCCAAATATATTTTAGTGTGTATGTGCCTGATGCCCATGGAGTTTAGAGGATGACATCGGATCCTCTTGAAATGGAGTTAATAGATGGTTTCAGGATGTCATGTGGTAGCTGAGAATTGAATCCAGATCCTTTTGGAAAGAATATCCAGTGCTCTTAACCACTGAGCCATTCTTCCAGCCCAGCTCACCAATGACTAGAATTTAATCTTAAGGAAATTGGGAGATGTTCGTTGTTTTACCGTGGTCTATGTGGCAGTGCGTAACTGATCCAAAGGCAATACATAACTTACTAAGCAAATGAGTGAATAGTTCAATATTAGAAAATCCTTTAGTAGTAGTGACATTTTGAGAACCTGTGGCAGGAGAATCTTTTGTTTAAGTCCATCCTGAGTAATGGTGGTAGTAGACATGCTAAGTAAAGGAAAATGTCATTTGCTGTAGCTGTAGATTGAGCTTAAGAATACTGGTTGCTCTTTTCAGAAATCTGGGTTTGATTCCCAGCACCTATGTAGCAGCTCACACCCATCTGTTAACTCCAGTTCCAGGGAATCTAATACCTTCTGGCTCCCACAGACTTCAGGCCTACAAGTGCAGATAA